CTGGAGGTGTTCAAAAAATGTGTTGATGCAGAGTTTCTAGATATGGTTTAGTGGGCATGGTGGTGTTGGGTTGACGGTTGGACTTGATGATCTCAAAGGTGTCTTTCCAAAATAATGATTCTATGTTTCTGTTTTCTTTCTATAATAATTCGATCTGGACTCACAAAAAGCCCTTGATTGTACTGTTATGATTTCAATTCTACTACTAATAAAGTTTTGGCTTTACATATAGTGTGTGTTTACTTTTCCTCCATAACTTGATTTTGAACATAACATATTATACCTGCAAAGATTTCATTTTAAATGTGAAAATATCTGTGAGTACTAGTCTACAGTAAATTACAGAGTTCTCACAAGTAAAAGTTATGCAGATTACCAATGCAAGAGGGAGGAGGAGACCACTGTCCATCAACACATTCTATTTCCTTTGATCCAACCAATTTTAATTCATCGTTGCATGCATACTGCATTCTGTCCCCATGCCGATACTGTTCCACAGAGTCCCCAGCAATAGTTCCATTGGTAATCGCAGGAGGAGGTCCACAGCCACTGGCGCCCACTGAAATCAAGAGATCAAATCTGTGCTCTGAACTCAGTACTTTTAGCACAGTTACATGTTAAAAGTGCAACATAAAATAAACTCATTTTGTTGTTTAAAGTTAAGAAAAATCAGTAGAACAGGTTAAACATGTCATTGGTTTACGCCTTTGAATATCTGGATTCATGTTGGGCTGGAGATCACAAACAGACAGGCGTGACCCTGCCTTACTCTAATCTCTTACTTCCATGCACTGTCAATTGCATGCTAGGATAAAAGAAGTGGTTGATAAAATCAAGCCAGTTTTAAGAGAGAAAAAGTGTTACATGGATGACAACTTCAGTATTCTTTTTTTTTTTTTTTTAAATGGTGAAGATTCTGCAAGTAATAATAATCTATGTCATAAAAATCACCCAGCAAGTGATTATGTACTGTGTATTAAAGGAATTCCCTTCTAAGGGAGTGAATGAAACTCCTGTTAAGGGAGCTTAAAATGTTCCTCAGCTAAAAGGCCAACTATATGAAATATCCTTGTTTTTAAATGCAAAGGAGAGTGAGCAAAAAGAAGGATGAGAGCATGAAAGACATCAAGGAAATTCACTGAGTGGGAAGAAAGGCAGATGAGAAATATGAGATCCCTTCATCTTCTCAGGCTTCCTCATGAAAGTGCATAGCACCAGCAAAAGAAATTCTTTTAGATGCCGGTAAGTTGTGCTCTGTCTTAAAAAGGATGAGAAGAATAGGGGCATATATCTTCCCTTCTGCATGATTTTGTTCATCCTACTGGACAAAGCTGAGAAATTTCACAAGGAAAACCCTTCACTGAGTTTCTTTTGCTTGGGTCCAGCTCTGTGTCCTCTCCAGAACAGTTTTTTTCTTCAATATCATGTGATCAAAGAAAGGAACATAGGGTACAAAAGCTGATATCAACATTAGGCAGTGGCAAAACTTGGGACATTTAGAATGCAGTAAGAGAGGACTTTACCCAAATTAATCCCCCCTGGATGCCATATTGCATATTATTTTTGCCTTTTTGAATAATAAATAATTGTTCATACATTACAGTCAACAACCTGAGTGAAACTTTGCACAAGCCGTTCACCAGCTCACTTTCAGTTATTGCAGAACTCCAACTGGCATAACTAAAGCTAACAGAAAGTTCAACATTGAAAGCTCAATTGTTCAGAACCTGTCACATGAAATAGCAAAACACTGTGAAATGATCCAAACAGGACCAGTGCCTGCCCTTTTAGAGACAAAGGTGGGATAATTGCTGTTGGGAGCAAGACCAACTTATAGAAGGTGTCTGCAGAAGTCTTCATGAACCCAGGCATTTTAATCTATTTCCTACAACAATAAAGTTAACAGAATAATTACCTTTACACACTGGTGGTGATGGAAACCATCCAAAGTAATAGCACTGAGTAGAGGCAGGTCCCACTCTTAGGTAATTATTTGCACAGGTAAATTTCACAACATCTCCATTGCGGTATTTACCCTTCTTGGGAGAAAAATCTCCATTGGGCAATGTCAGCATTTCACACTCTATTGCTGCAAAGACAAAATAGTTCAACATAGCGCGTACATCCTACAAAAAGTACATGAAATGCTACAGATCAGAACAAAACCAAAGAAAGTCTTAAAGAAAAAAGCTTCACAAAGTGTACACAGACTTACACTGATTAGCAAACCCAACGATATTCACTCACCAAGACACTGGGGTGTTGGACTCCATTCACCATTTGTGCCACACCTTGCGGTACCAGTTGGAGTATTATTTGCAGTTTGATAACCCTCCAAACATGCATACTCAATTGTATCTTCAGGCATGAACATGGTTTTATTTGCATGGTAATTCAAAACGTCCAAATTAGGTGTTTCACATGATTCTGTAGAATAAAACAGAGCTAGTGCATTTTGTGACCCAGAAACACTGCTCTTTGGAAGGAGTTTCTGTAGGTGCTTTAGTGTGTGCTAGTCTACTGAACTACTCACTGTAATTTGAAACACTACAAATTCTGCATTGCCAGAATATCAATGTAGAATACCATATGTAGCACATTCACATATCTATTGCATTAACCTTCAGAAATACGTGTCTAGAAGCAATATCTAGCATAAATATTTCTTCTTTAGATTCACTTTCTTTCCTTCTACTGCATAGTATTATTATTATTGGTGTCATAGCAAACAGACTGTACTCCTGTTCCTCATGGTCATTTGTGAGGGTCTCAGAAAAAAAAGCAAAATCCTAGGTAAAGGCAGTCTGAAATAAAATGACAAGGAAAAATGTCAGCTAAAGTGGGTCACTATTACGAGCATCAGTATTACAACACTGGAAGATTAAGTCTCTTCTTTTATTACCCTACAGCCCTGTTTGGGAGAGGAAGGAACTTCTAAGAGGGGAAAGGCAACAACAGTATGGAGGCATTTTCAGGAAAAACCACTCTGATGTTTTTCACAAATGTGCTTTTTAACACCAGGGCAGACATATGCACAGTGCTTTTTAAGCATAGCGAGAACATCTTTCCAAATAATGAATCCCATTTTTCTTTAGTTTGGTCAAATTTATAGAAAGTTCTTGGCAGAATCCCTTGCTTCACAGGCATTGCTTCATAAATCTTCCCTCACATGTATGAAAGGCGGGAGAAATGGCAGTAAATTTGGGCATATGCACCTTGTATCAGGTAAGAATCACTGCAGAGATCAATAATTACCATGTATTTTGTGCTACAGAGGTCCAAAAAGACAGCTCACCTAAAAGACAGTAGATATTTTCCTACCTTACCTCCTTCATGCTTTCTCTATTTATTGGAGCCCCAGAAAGGTTAATCTCTGGAGGATCCACCCTCTATTTGAGTCTCCCTCTGCCCAGTAAGAGAACTCTGCCAATCTAGACGACAAAAATCTGAGTACATAGGATATCATGTCTGCACCAGTGACAATGATAGGGAGCTCTGAAGCCTTCATGCTACTCACTGATGCACTTTGGAGATGCAGTCCAGCCATTTTCTTGGCACTGTATCCTTCCTGTTTCATGTCCTTCTGGAGTTACAAAGCCAGTATGACAATTGTAGGTGACCGTCTCCTGTAAATTAAATATTTCCTTTTGCGAGGTGAAATAACCATGGGCAAAATGGATCTTCTGGCATTTTTCTGAAAAAGACAGAAAGAATTTCTTGCAAGTAAAACTCTGTTAAACTACATGCTTATAAGACACAGAAGAAGGAGGGTAAATGAAGCAGCAGTAGGATTTAGAACATTTTTAAGAGCACATGAGTCATTGCATCTGCATTGAGACCTTTTCCTGGGGGACCACTGGAATGTGAAAAGTCAAAGTTCACAGTTACCAACTCATGCAGCACAAACAGGGGGGTTTGACCTGCAGCAATCCTGAAAGCTTCCAAAATTGTATGTCCACATCTGGTCTTCACTAGAAATGAAATTTTTGTTGGGCATGTAAAGCACTGTGCATGCATAAAGAGTACCTTCTGTCCGTATTGCAATGGGGGGCACGCCAGAGATCACCATGGTGTGCAGGTACCACCTCAGTTCTACCAAAGAGAAACCATTCAGAGTGCAAATAATGGAGGACTAAAGTAAATTTGTACCAAAGGACCCCTTCTTACACATTAAAACACCAGTGCAGACAGACCCAATGTGGTAACTAATTTCATATCACTTGGAATACATTGTTTAAGCCAGTTAAAGTGGATGAGAATCAGTTGTCATGACTGGATGTTATGGTCTTGTATTCTGAAAGAAAACTTCCATAGTGTGCTAAATTCTTTACTAATAAGTCATTCTGTGAAGGAGTTTCTCCATTTTAAGAAAACACTACAACAAATAGCAATATTTGCTCATCAGAGAGTCAAGTAAATAAAGATATGACACACAAAAAAAAAGACTTTGAGGAACACTAGAGGATGTATTTGAATGTTGGGAGTGTTAATGATACTTTAGCGCAAGAGATTCAAAATTTTAAATTTCACACTAAAATTTTTGGTGTTTATGCCAGTGATGCCCACAATTGTCTAACACTAGGAATCATAAATTTTTATTTTGCTTGCTCATTGCTATGTTGAAATCTCAGTGGGCAGCAGTCCACAACATTCTAGGGTCGGTGTCTCAGGGTGAAGTCGTTTCCCCAAAAATATTTTTACAGTCCAAGAAAAGTTAGGTTCAGTTATTTCTTTTGTCCGTATGAAATCATTATCTAAAGTTTTTATAGTTCCTGTGAGACATGCTAGCAATCTCAGGCTTGGTGCAAGTCAGCAACAAAAGCGGGAACTTCCTATTCCTCCCCCTTTCTACTCTGATGCCAACTGGGAAGGAAGCAAGAGAAACAAGGATCAGTGGCATAGCAAGACGCTGAAAAGAGACAAATTACAGATGGGTTGCGCAAGGGGAAGGATCACTTTTTATTATATTCCTGTACAGCTATGTTATAATAAGATTTCACTATTGAAGACAAAGGGACTATGGCTCCCATCCCAGAGCTTAGATTCTAGGAGATCTGAATGAGCCACGTGCGCAGGTGTTTGTATAGCAACTGACCTCAGCAGCATACAGGGACATGGGAGCTGCATGAGACAGTAGAGAGAACGACAGCATTGTGTTTCAGTTGTAAAGCACCTAGGTGACAAAGGATTAATGTAGGTGATTTGATCATGGATTTATTGGTTTTAGCTAGAAAACTCAACAAAATACAAGCACACTCACTTTTACGGATACATCTTGGAGGAGGTGACCAGTCATCCTTTGTGCATGTGACTTCCCCATCTTTATGTTCAGTACGATAGTCATCATTGCAGACGTATCTAACTCTTTCACCTTCCTTGTAAAAATTCTTCCGGATACGTGAGAAATAACCATTTTCCACTTGTCTGATCTGACATATTTCTAAGGAAGGAAGGTAAGTACATTTAACCACAGCAACGTGGATAGCAAGAACTGAGGTAAATTAACTCTTAGGAAGACAGTTACTAAAACATGGGCCTCCAAGCACCTTTCTGTAGCCTTTTATCCCAAAAAGACATTTGGCTTTAAACCTGATTGAAAGCACGTGTTTCACTCCCCTAAGATCAACAAATCACGTGAACAGGAGTGCAAGTCACCACATAAAGCTCTAAGAAGTGGTCTAGAAAGCAATATTACTTATCTAGTGGTCATAAGCAAGTCTGGCTAACTCTGGTGCATCTAGCGTCATGTACACCAGCTCTGGTTTGGTCTGTTATGTCTCTAAAATGTTGATGTCCACGCTGAGTGATTTTCAGCACTTGCCTCCAGGAGATTTTATCACCTGTGTGCAAATGTATCAGCCTCTCAAACCAACTCTAGAGATTTTAGCAACAGTTAAGCACACTGGCTCTACAGCATCCTGTGCCCTCAAGAGCCCAGACACAAGGAAGATGGCTGAAGGAATGATACAGCTGTGTTACTTGAGTAACTGGTCCTTTCTTCCTGGCAGGACTCCACTCATTTCCTGCATGGAGCACCACTCCACTGAGGACAACATGGAAAGATCAGCCTTTTGTAATCCACTTCCAAGCCCTACCAGTAGGTAGGAACTTTACTGTGACTTAAAAGGTGTGCTAGCAGGGGAGGAGGTCTCAGCTCACTGCTTTCCATCTGTTTTCTAGGGTTCAGTCCTTAATTCAGTGTATCTTTTGCTGATGCCACGCTCATTCTCCACTTATTGCAAGAGTGTGCCACCTTCTCATCTCCAAACGTTACCCAAAGGAACCAGGCAAGGGATCTCAGAGAGGAACCTCTAGACACAGTGTCCAAGTCATGGAAGGAAGGATATATTTACACATAGTAGAAACTCTCTGTGCGTGCAGAGGAATGCAAGATGCATGCATGTGACCCAGAAGCTGGCAAAGACAAACATTTCTGATGTGTTTCTTAATCTCATGCATAGTTTCAGGAGTAAAGAAACTCCATAATCCAAAAGCATCGCGTCAGCCTTACTCACTTCAGAGTGTCACTTAGCAGCTGACAGTTTGAGCTCTGCAGATTGGGTGATAGTCTGGGTGCAGTTGCAAGGGTCAGCGAAAGCAGTTCTAATTTAATAAACTGTTCTTTTTTTCTGTTTTGCACTCCATTGGCACATTTTTTGCTGGACAGACCTTTGATAACTGTAACAGTATTGAGCATATAGTGAAAATGTACTTACTGAGGCATTTTGGCTCTGGAGACCAGCCCCTTTCAGAACAGGTAATTCGAACCCAGTAGTCTCCACTTGGTGTTGAATAACCATTACTGCAGTGGTAATCAACATACTGCCCAAGCCTCGCTGGAAAGTAATAGTATCTGCCGTACTCCAGACTTCCACTTAACTTGCCATTTTTTATAGCTGGGTATTCACATGGTTTCTCTTGAAACAGAATTTAACAGCAACAGTATCAACACATGCACGACAAAAAGCTCAGGACACAATTGATTCAGATTCAGCTTCACCATCTGCAAGTTTTCTGAAAGTGACGAATCAGGACCGCACACCTTGGCAGATCCTACAGAGTGCAGGAACAATCACACTCTGCTTCGGGTGTCTTTGTCAGTGCTTATACCTACTATGTTGCTTCCCTCCGATTCCACTGCAACCAACAGAAATCCAGTCAATATCCTCAGTGGCCTCCAAAGGCTGACCAAGTGGAAGCATTTATTCTACAGTGAGATGACACTGTCTTTGTAGAGTGTCTTGACTAAACTGACTATACTGACCATGATGGGAGCCCAGAAAGCTAGCTCTGATGTAGACACTGACCTGTGGACTCTTAAAATTGAAATGACTCCTGTCAACACATTAATTTGTAACTTTTCAGATCCTGCACCAAAAGCTCTTCCTAGCTCTTCTCATTTTTATTTTCAAACTGTACTGTTTGTCGTTTGTTCTCTCAGTTTCTCAAAAGAATGGACCCTTTTCTCAGGGACAAATCAAGGACAGGAGGAGATGATTCCCAAAAGATTTCATTTAAGTTTACCCAGGGTGTCCTAATTGGCCATAGCAGGTGTGCTCCCCCTCAAGTGCTATGACCCAGAGTCTACATGCTGGGGCAGGGGAGATCACCCAACGGACAGAGCATTCAATAACGAGTGAAGTGGTCTCAGAATGATACCTGGATTTTTAGAACCCACACATAGATAGAGAAAAGATTAATACAGATACCAGCTGCACTTTTCAGTTCAAATCATCTTGTCCAAAGGCTCATTTACAAGACTGATTTCATTAGGGTTTCTCTCACATTGTTTTCTAAGTTTTTCTTTTATTCTTAGTGACCAAATCAGTGATCAAAGAGTGCTAGATTAGGAAATTAATTGCTTATTTATTTGTTTGTTTGTTAATAATGTGCCTGCTAGGCAAAACTCTCACTGCAGTTATGGGAAGTTTAAGCCAAGAAAGAACTCATCAACAATCATCAATATCTTCTTCTGTTATTTGACAAATTACAATAGGTAGAAAACAACTGTGATTGTTCATAATACACCAACATACAAAACTGCAAGTAAAAATCTAAAGCTGTGATAACTACAGTGAAAGACGCCTTACCACCATTACCTATGTTTTGTTTTGTTTTGGATACTTTAACCCCCACTATGTCCTCCTCTCTTGACCGGCATGCTACTCCTCAAGTGGATCACAAACCTTCCCGACAGGGAGCTGACTATATCACACTTTAATACATACTTTCACAAACACAGTAATAGAGAATACCCGTGTTTATAA